TCATCATCATAATCATCATCATCATCATCATCATCATCATCATCATCATCATCAACCTCATTCGCCTTAATAATATAATGCTTTTACATTATATCAGCTATCCACTAAAACACCACCCGACCTCCGTAACGTTGGCAAACGCGCAAAATCCGAATGTTATAGTACTACTTGCAATATGACAGTAACATGTTTATTTGAATTTATAATTGTCTACAGTCCATCGCTTACGCTTACCAACATGCATCTATGCAATTTACAATAGGGAAATTAGTTTATTTACTGCACTCCAAACTAATACTGCACTACTGATCGTAACAGTAAACCTCCACACAGTTTGCCTATCGGTACAGCATTGACACTTTTCCGCTTATGTGTTACGTTTATGTTAACTTTTCCAAATTTCGAGATGCTTGAGTTGCTTGACAAAAAAACGGAGTTCAAAGGTGAAGACTTATATTTCCCACAAATTAAATCGAACTGAACTGAAATGAATTAGTATTCCCCTTTCGGATTGAAATGTCCCGTATAAAGACGTTCGCCATGAACCCTAGTGCGCTTAAAGACATGATTGCAGCTCGGAATTCGGTCGACAGTTTCGGTCAGAATGCATCGTCTGATGGTTCTATTGCGCGCATACGCAAAAGACGGTGGCGAGGCCAGTAACCTTCGTGGGTGATCGACACAGACTAAGACGACTTTGCGGACCGATCATATTTCGTATCTGTACCTATTATAGACAAGCCCCAGCCGTCTTTCATGCGGGACCAGTGGTAATATGCGGTTTAAGCTTAGCTCCTAAACACATGCCCCTAAGCCTAACCCCCTAAATCCTAACCGTAACCCCCAAACCCTAACCGCTAAGACTAACACCTAACCCCTAACAGGTAGGGCTACGAAATAAGATCTTGCCGACTTTGCATAGTTATTCAGACCGCAAGCGCAGTTAACGCGTCTACCGTGGTCTGCACGCATATGCCGCCAACCGCGCGGTGCTGTTCACGCGTGTTGTCGAGTTGGCGCCTGACGCCGGCACACGGTTTGGGCTACTTCGTTAATGACATTACTACTCCAAATTGTTGGCCCGACCGGCAACCCGGCTTTTGCTGCACCGACTTGTAGGAGAATTTTCTTTCCTTACCGTGTTCACCCGGGGCATATTTAATCCGCCTGGAAACGCATAAACCCATACGGGAGCATGACATTATAATCTACAGATTAAAGGCTCTGATCTGCTGGATATACATCAATCCATGGAGATGCCTAATCTCACAGTGCACAGAGTAAAGGCTGCGGTCGCCTCATTACTCGAACCTCCAGCACATGACACAGTCTGTCAGCATCGATCGTGCGATCTCCCATCATCCTCGGCTATCTACATAATCTACCTTCCCGGAGAAATATTTTATTTCATCAAATTCCCACAGAATTCATCTCGGTAGTTTCTTTCTTCTTCATGTCTCACTTGAATATCTGGCATTCTCAGAACTCCGCCTGTCTTTCTCATTCATCGTGTTACTTAAAAATACTCAAGTGTGACTCCGTATAACATTATGGTTTACCTACAATTTTGAATGCTATAACTTATGTGAGTGCTATGCATATTATATTTTGAAATATGACCTTTTGAACATTCAATTGCGCAGCTCCCAATTTAATTTTACTTACTCTCGACTTGCACTAGAGTATCGCCCAAGCACTTTATCAGTATCAGGTATGTGTGTTTTGGATGTAGACCAAATCTACAAAAGAAGAGCACCAAACGTCTTAGGAGAATTGTACAAACTCTTATGTTAGTCACCGCAGTTGTTGTTCTAGCATTCATCTTCCTGATGGTGGAAGTGTTTTTTGTGACTGAAACGGTGGTGACGATTGTGTTTCGAATGTATGTCACCACTATTAACGAATTTACACTCCAGCCACCATGCCTGCTGTGAAGACCAGGAATGGCATTGTCCGAAACGACGGTCGAAATGTCGGCATTGTTTGTGGTGGTAGGGTGGTGTTGGTGGTGGTGGTGGTGGTGGTGGTGGTGTTGAATGACGTATTTCATAGTATTTGTTTTGCTAGTCATATTTGTGGTAATGGGATTTGTGAACAAAGTTTGTGTTCATCCGTATATGCAGGGGATTGCCGCTTCCGAACGCTGACAAATCAATATATCTAAGCAGGGCCTGGAGCATGCTTAGTGAAGTGAATGCCAACTGATGTCTGATGTAACGGAGACTGGCGTATGAACACTCCTCCCTCTGTGGCACAGTCACTCACAGAATGAAAATTCTAAGGAAGATGCAAATACGTGGCATTTTTAAAGTCAGCGTACTCTCATCGACTGAGTTGTTTTAGTTAACTTGCCATATGCCATCACTCATATGAGGCTGGAGGACCACATCCTGCCGAATTTTTTATATAGTTCTTTTTGACCTCCTTTACAAACGGCACTGGGTAAACAAGGATTATTTATGTGGTATGAACTTTCATGTCTTTACATACTAAAATAAATTTTTGGAAAACATAAACAAAATTATGCATTCTTGTACTCATATGGTAGTAAATTGCTCTCTCTTCAAATTGTATACACAAAGAAAGAGCACATTTGGTTTCGAGAATTTTATTCAATTCCCCAATAATTTTGAGTCCAATCCACCTCTGCGTCTGCTTTTAGCATTTTCAGGCTTCAAGGTGCACTTTTCTGTCTAAAAAATAAGACACCCCTATGTGCTTTTAGAAAGCCATGCAGAGCTCATATAATCTTGCCCTTGATGCACACAATATTGTATAATTCATGAGTATCATTAATAAACAGACAAGTACAATCCAATATGAATGGATATCTTGAGGTCTTAAGGAGTCTCATAATCAAAACCTTTCGTTTTAAATCAAAAGAGTATGGACTCTTCGCCGAAAATTGTGAGATAAATTAGACGTATGGATTTGTAAGCGCTCCGAAGCACCAATCACTTGTATATCCGCATGAATTCGCTGGTGATTGCGGTCGCAATTGTTGGCCATAAAGCATGCACGATCTGCATCCACTGTTGCTCTTAGTCGACTGTAAGCAGGTCGCCACTGGAAGAGCAGCTGTAGGCGTGCATGACTGACGCGCAGCTCACCTCCAACGCGGCATCGCCTCACCCCAATTGCGAGCAAATATTCATGTGCGCTATCAAGTCGGCGCCGTACGCCGGCAAGCGGTTTGGGCTACTTCGTTGAGACAGTCATTCCTAAATACTTGGCCCGACCGGCGATCCGGCTTTTTGCACTGCCTACAGTAGGTTTCCTTTTAGGCACGTCCTGGGCGTTGGCATGTTGTTGAAGATATTTGAACGCATAATCTGCTTCGCTGGACAGTCAGAGGGGGTGAGTAAACGGTAAGTGTACTTAGGGCCAACACAGCTTGAGCGTCCATTTCGACGATGTCCCCAGCATGTGCTCTGTTTAAACGTTGGCAGGAATTCTGGACTTCGTTTTAGGCTTGGAAGTAGTATTTAGACGGAGTTGCATTACTGATTGTCCCGCGATATAATATCGTAATAGGTAGAACTCTCCAAGATTTTGTATTTTTAGTATAGTTCTTTTCGACCATCCGTAAAAACGGCACTCAGTTAACAAGGGTTATTGTTTTGTTATGAAGTTTCGACATTGATTTTCGATATCTTTATAAATTCAAATAGATTTTACAGAAAAACAAAACACAATAAGCTTTCTTTTACTCGTTTGTTAGCAAGTTGCTCTCTTTCCCCAAATTTCAAACAAAATCAAAGAGTACCCTTTGGTTTCAAAATGTTTATTTAATTCCCGAACAATTTTGAGTCCAGACTACCTTTACATCTGCATTTAGCTTATTCAGGCTACAGTGAGCACTTGCGCTCCAAAATATCAGACACCCCTCTGTGCCTTAAGAAACCCACGAAAAGCTCATGCAATCTTGCATTTGATGCGCACAATATTGTATAATTCATGCGTATCATTAATAAACAGACAAGTAAGATCTTGAGGACTTAAGGAGTCTCATAATTAAAACCTTTCTAATTAACTCATAAGAACTTGGACTCTACGCCCAAAATTGTGAGATAAATTAGACATAGGGATTTGTCAGCGTTTGGAAACAGCAAACTCCTGCATATTCGCATGAATCCGGTGATGATTGCGGTCGCAAATGTTGGCCATAAAACATGCACGAGCTGCATCCACTGTGGCTCTTAGTCGACTGTAAGCAAGTCGACACCGGAAGAGCAGTTGTAGGCGTGCATGAGTGACGCGAAGCTCACCTCCGATGCGGCATCGACACACCGCAATCGCGAGCAAATATTCATGTTCGCTAGCAAGTTCTCATCCATCGCCCACAAACGGTTTGGGCTACTTCTTTGAGATCATCATTCCCAAATAACTTGGCCCGACCGCCAATCCGGCTTTTGGCATTGCCTACACTAAGTTCCCTCTTATGCATGCCCTGAGGGTTAGCTTGTGGTAGAAGACATTAGAACTCAACACCTGTTTCCATGGGCAGGCGGAGTGGGTGGGTGTGTGGGGTGAATGTACACAGGGTCGCCACCACAGTAGGACAGGTAGTACGTCGATTTCAACGATGTCCACCGTGTGATCTACAGCAGCATGGTGAGAGGAGGGACGGCGAATTGAGCACGAATTACTTTATGTTGACTTGCGCTGCACCTCCCACGCTCTGGCCTGCCCCCATCCTCCTGGGCACTACGCCACGATAGAGTCGAGCAGAGCGGATGTGAGAGAAGTCGCAAGTGGATGACATCACGAGAAATGAACCGCCAAGAAAACCGGAGGCGGGAGAAGCCGCGGGTGCCTGGCACGGTGAAACCGGCACATAGGCGTACCAGCACACCCGCTGGTAGACAAGGCACACAGAACAGGTGCTTGCAAAATAAGACGAGGGGGCAGCTGGGATCCCAGTGGTATATCACAATTGAATAAAAATTCTTAATTGAGCAAAAAGGCAGTACTAGGTTAGAGGATGCAAGATATTCAAGTGAGATTTTTAGGCGAAAATTCGAGAACGCGGGAGATATCATTCAAAGTGGTGGGGAAAACGCGCGCAGAGATTTATGCTCGTATGCTCATGATTTTTTGCTTAATATCTCATGGTGTACGAGGCACCGTTTAAACGTTTATGTAGGAATAAAAGTGTGCGACATAAACTGCACACTACATATCATCATTCCTAATTAGTCCTTTTTGCCGAGACATTTCGACTGCTTCATAAAAATGAGGAGAGAGGGGGAGCACGCGCATCTGCCATAGCGTATACGCCATCCAAAGCGGTCTTTCCCAATCCTTCCCAAGGCAAGGAATGTCTCCTACAAGTCAGTGCAGCAAAACGCCGGGTTGCCGGTCGGGCCAATCATCTGGGAGTAGTAATGGCATTAACGAAGTAGCCCAAACCGTGTGCCGGCGTCAGGTGCTGCCTCGAAAACACATGTGAACAGCATTACGCGGGAGGCGGCACATGCGTGCAGACCACGGTAGACGCGTTCATCGCGCTCGCGGACTGAATTACAGCACAAAGTCGTCCTAATCTGTGTGGATCACTCACTAGTGTTACTGGTCCTGCCACTATCACTTGCGTATGCGCGCAATGGAGGCATCAGATGATGCATTCTGGTTGAGATCGTCGACGGAAATCACAGAAGCCATCACAGAAACGACGGTCCAAATGTCGGCATTGTTTGTGGTGGTGGTGGTGGTGGTGGTGGTGGTGGTGGTGGTGGTGTTGGTGGTGGTTGTGGTGGTGGTGGTGGTGGTGGTGGTGGTGGTGGTGGGAGTGTCTTGGATGACGTAGTTCATAGTATGTGTTGTGCTAGTGTTATTTGTGGTAATGGGATTTGTGATAAAAGTTTTGAGTTCATGCGTATACTGCTTCCGAACGCTGACAAATGCATATGTCTAAGCAGGGCTTGAAGCATGCTTGGTGAGGCGAATATCAACTGATGTCTGAAGTAACGGAGGTTGGCCTATGAGCACTCCTCCCTCGGTGGCACAGTCACTCGCAGAATGAAACTGCTAAGGAAGATGCTAATACGTGGCATTTTTATAGTCAGCGTACTCTCATCGACTGAAAGTTTTTAGTAAACTTGCCATATGCTATCACTCATATGAGGCTGCAGGATCACATCCTGCCGAATTTTTTATATAGTTCTTTTTGACCTCCCTTTCAAACGGCACTGGGTAAACAAGGATTATTTATGTGGTATGAACTTTCATGTCTTTATATATTCAAATAAATCTTATGAAAAACATAAACAAAATTATGCATTCTTGTACTCATATGGTAGAAAATTGCTCTCTCCTTAAATTGTATACACAAAGAAAGAGCACATTTGGTTTCGAGAATTTTATTCAATTCCCCAATAATTATGCATCCAATCTACCTCTGCGTCTGCTTTTAGCATTTTCAGGCTACAAGGTGCATTTTTCTGTCTAAAGAATAAGACACCCCTATGTGCCTTTAGAAAGCCATGCAGAGCTCATATAATCTTGCACTTGATGCACACAATATTGTATTATCCATGAGTATCATTAATAAACAGACAAGTACAATCCAATATGAATGGATATCTTGAGGTCTTAAGGAGTCTCATAATCAAAACCTTTCGTTTTAAATCAAAAGAGTATGGACTCTTCGCCGAAAATTGTGAGATAAATTAGACGTATGGATTTGTAAGCGCTCCGAAGCACCAATCACTTGTATATCCGCATGAATTCGCTGGTGATTGCGGTCGCAATTGTTGGCCATAAAGCATGCACGATCTGCATCCACTGTTGCTCTAGTCGACTGTAAGCAGGTCGCCACTGGAAGAGCAGCTGTAGGCGTGCATGACTGACGCGCAGCTCACCTCCGACGCGGCATCGCCTCACCCCAATTGCGAGCAAATATTCATGTGCGCTATCAAGTCGGCGCCGTACGCCGGCAAGCGGTTTGGGCTACTTCGTTGAGACAGTCATTCCTAAATACTTGGCCCGACCGGCGATCCGGCTTTTTGCACTGCCTACAGTAGGTTTCCTTTTAGGCACGTCCTGGGCGTTGGCATGTTGTTGAAGATATTTGAACGCATAATCTGCTTCGCTGGACAGTCAGAGGGGGTGAGTAAACGGTAAGTGTACTTAGGGTCACCACAGCTTGAGCGTCCATTTCGACGATGTGCAGCGTGTGCTCTGATGAAACGTTGGCAGGAATTCTGGACTTCGTTTTAGGCTTGGAAGTAGTATTTAGACGGAGTTGCATTACTGATTGTCCCGCGATATAGTATCGTAATAGGTAGAACTCTCCAAGATTTTGTATTTTTAGTATAGTTCTTTTCGACCATCTGTAAAAAAGGCACTCAGTTAATAAGGGTTATTGTTTTGTTATGAAGTTTCGACATTGATTTTCGATATCTGTATAAATTGAAATAGATTTTACAGAAAAACAAAACACAATAAGCTTTCTTTTACTCATTTGTTAGCAAGTTGCTCTCTCTCCTCAAATTTCAAGCAAAATCGAAGAGTACCCTTTGGTTTCAAAATGTTTATTTAATTCCCGAATAATTTTGAGTCCAGACTACCTTTACATCTGCATTTAGCTTATTCAGGCTACAGTGAGCACTTGCGCTCCAAAACATCAGACACCCCTCTGTGCCTTAAGAAAGCCACGAATAGCTCATGCTATCTTGCATTTGATGCGCTCAATATTGTATAATTCATGCGTATCATTAATAAACAGACAAGTAAGATCTTGAGGACTTAATGAGTCTCATAATTAAAACCTTTCTAATTAAATCATAAGAACTTGGACTCTACGCCCAAAATTGTGAGATAAATTAGACATAGGGATTTGTCAGCGTTTGGAAACAGCAAACTCCTGCATATTCGCATGAATCCGGTGATGATTGCGGTCGCAAATGTTGGCCATAAAACATACACGAGCTGCATCCACTGTGGTTCTTAGTCGACTGTAAGCAAGGCGACACCGGAAGAGCAGTTGTAGGCGTGCATGAGTGACGCGCGGATTACCTCCGATGCGGCATCGACACACCGCAATCGCGAGCAAATATTCATGTTCGCTAGCAAGTTCTCATCCATCGCCCACAAACGGTTTGGGCTACTTCTTTGAGATCATCATTCCCAAATAACTTGGCCCGACCGCCAATCCGGCTTTTGGCATTGCCTACACTAAGTTCCATCTTATGCATGCCCTGAGGGTTGGCTTGTGGTAGAAGACATTAGAACTCAACAACTGCTTCAATGGGCAGGCGGAGTGGGTGGGTGTGTGTGTTGAATGTACACAGGGTCGCCACCACAGTAGGACATCTTGAGCGTCGATTTCAACTATATCCACCGTGTTCTCTAAAGCAGCAGGGTGAGAGGAGGGACGGCGAATTGAGCACGAATTACTTTATGTTGACTTGCGCTGCACTTCCCACGCTCTGGCCTGCCCCCATCCTCCTGGGCACTACGCCACGATAGAGTCGAGCAGAGCGGATGTGAGCGAGGTCGCAAGTGGATGACATCACGAGAAATGAACCGCCAAGAAAACCGGAGGCGGGAGAAGCCGCGGGTGCCTGGCACGGTGAAACCGGCACATAGGCGTACCAGCACACCCGCTGGTAGACAAGGCACACAGAACAGGTGCTTGCAAAATAAGACGAGGGGGCAGCTGGGATCCCAGTGGTATATCACAATTTTATACAAATTCGGAATTGAGCAAAAAGGCAGGGCTAGTTTAGCGGATGCAAGATATTCAAGTGAGATGTTTAGGCGAAAATTCGAGAACGCGGGAGATATCATTGAGGGTGGTGGGTAAAACGCGCGCAGAGATTTATGCACATAACGCAGATGAATACCTGTGGGCTGTGCTAAAACTGGGATCTCGTGTTCACATCGAAATAGTTTACATATAGCCTATCTTCGGTGTTTTTTTTTGTTTCCAAAACGCACATACATGAGAATGATAAAAGTGCTATCGATATGTGCTCAGAATATATCACAGTGGTTCTAGATAGCAGGATGAATGAGAATGGCAAGACTACTTTAGAGGGTGTGCGATTTCTGAGTGAGTATTAATAAATAAGTACCTATCGAGCGAAACTTTGTGGAAATTTGAGAACGCGGGGGATATCATTGAGGATGGTGGGGAAAACGCTTGCAGAAATTTATGCATCTGTGCCCATGATTGTTTTTTGCTTAACATCGCATGGTCTACGAGGCACTGTTTGAGCGATTATGAAGGATTGAAACTATGCGGCCTGACTGCACCCTACATTTCATCCTTACTAAATGGTCCTTTTTGCCGAGACATTTCGACTGCTTGATGAAAACGGAGAGGGAGCACGCGCATCTGTCATAGCGCATCCGCAATCCAAAGCCGTCCTTCCCAATCCTTACCAAGGCAAGGAATGTCTCCTACAAGTCAATGCAGCAAAACGCCGGGTTGCCGGTCGGGCCAATCATCTGGGAGTAGTAATGGCATTAACGAAGTAGCCCGAACCGTGTGCCGGCGTCAGGTGCTGCCACGACAGCGAACGTGAATAACATCTCGCAGGCGGCGGGAGGTGCCTGATTGGCGCCGTCAGACTCGTTCACTGCTGTCGTTCCTCAGTGGCATGTTTACTCTCCCCCTACGCCATTCGCGCCTCCAATATTTTTCTCCATTTCTGTTGAAGGCTGCGAAATACAAATCGATGGCTTTCCAGTGCTAGGACGAGACCAATTAGTAAGGAGTGATGGGATGGCTCTATATATCAGTAGTGCAGTTTTGAATGCTAACCTGCTGAGCACTGTACAAACGACCATGATTTGGAGATGCTGCAGTGTCTTCTCTTGGTTCATAGACCTGAACCCTTTACTTTGGAATAGAGTGTAAACCAAATCGCGCTTTTTTTGTATCGGTATGAAGCTCAATAAGTGCAGGTATTGACCTTTCCATGAAGCCTTATATGGTTTGGAGTTATGGTTAGGTGTTATGGCTAGGGTTTGTGGTTAGGGGTTAGGGTTTAGGATCAGGGTTTCTAGTTATGGGTTAGGGTTAGGGGTTAGGGCATTTATTTCACAACCGTCCAACGTAAAATCGCGCATTCCCAATAGTTTTTGTTTTGCATGCAGCTAGTTGACCTCGTCGCCTGTGCGTTCTCGGGTTCCACCTACAGAAACCCTTATTAACACCGGTTCCGTACTAGAGGTGACGGGATTTGTTTACTTCAGATTGGGCCAAATAATCACGTCCGATCCCATCTTCCACTCTATTCATGAGGACATCCGGGAAAGATAGATTGTTACACTGCTCCTGTTCCATTGGAGACTATTCATGGCAAAAATTAGGTCTTCGGCTTCCTCGTTGTTATCAACAATAGCAAAAATTCCCATGTTACAATTGAAAAGTCAAGTTGGCGAACGCTTGTTTTCGGTAATTCTTCCTCAGGCCAATACAATTACATGAACGAAAGAAAATGTACAAAATCAACAGTGTTTATAGATGCTTCAAGGGCTAGTAAGTTACTAACACTCATCATCCCCACGCCGCCCGCATGAGAAGGTCGGCCGGTGTTAGTCGTCAGAGCTAGGGGAGGGGGGTAAGAGAGTCTTTGAGTAATGTTCTTGGGTTGAGCCCACTGCTGCGACTGCGGAAAAGAAAGATGTATTCATCCTTATCATCAACAGATGCGCGGAATTAAACGCATATATACTTTAAAATACACCAATACCGCACGGGACCGACTGTGATGGAGAGTCAGCACTGTCTCAACAGGAGGAAAAGGATGGATCCAGCCATACTCTACAATAAGTACAACGGCAAAGACTGTCTCTTACAA